CTTGACCTTGTGAGGTCGTTGGATTGGCCAGCGTGAAAGACCATGAACGACATGCCCCAATTGCCGAAAACAAACTCCAGCCACAACATCACCAGCTTCAATGGACAACACCTACTTTTGAAAGCTTTTGCCAAACTAGGTGTTGAAAATTGAAGGTCTGGTGTTTTGCGAAAGACACTGGATAGAATGTCTTCCAAAGGCACACGTACTCACGGGTGATCTCGCGGACGTGTGGACATCTTTGAGCACTAGTGAGGCTGTATGGTGCAGTTGAAAATGGTTGAAAACAATTGAAGCATGTTAAAACGATGTGTCGCTATAGGAACATAAGGACCGCCACAGCAACATAAAGGCAGTCGCAGGACGTCATGTAGCAAATTCTTGAACAAACTATGACACAGCGGGATTTTTGTCACATAAGTGCTACATGTTTGTTTTTATTGCTTTTCAGTACATTCCCAATCATGCTTCTAAACGTTTCAGTGTTTTTGAAACATCTTGCAGCAACAAGGAGCAGCGGAGAACACCAATGCACAGGGTGAAGAAAGTACTGAACAATCATCAAGCAGAAAGGAACACATCACCGGCATCATGGCGCAAAAAATTGTGATATTGATATGCTTTCTTTCTATGACAGACTACGTTATACGATGTTTCTTGGCAAAGACCAAGAAGACCAATCCCTTAAAGCACCAAACAGCTTAAAAGCAAAACGTGATCCAAATAAAACATTGCGGTACTACAAGCTCAAAGTAGCCAGCGAAAACGTGTGAAAATGGATGAGCACAAGAAACCATTCAACAAAGCATAAAAACTTTTCTGCCTGCACCATATTGCACCCACTCAGCATATTCCACCCATGTGTCTTTATTGAGCGCCAAGGAAATTCCGGATGTGCAGCCGGCATGAATCCATACTTTCCACATGTAATCTGCTGATTTGCTGAATCCGCAACCCCCCCGTTGAAATTGGCTAGCCATTAAACACCCCCCCGGCACATCAAAGTCAAGCACAACGTACATGGTGCAAACCATGCAAATTTACAAGTCACATCAAGTCACATCAAACCACATATATTGAAACTTGATGTTGTTTGGAGAAATTTGGTGACATTCGTTGATACATATGGTGTCCTAAGGTATCCTAAAATATTCTGATACAAGCTGGTGCAAAGATATGCAAAACTATATCTAGCTACAAGTAGTTCTGCATAGTTGTTATGAAGCTCTAGTTAAAGTGTGTTGAAGTAAGCTGACATACATATCAGCAAATCTCAGCATCACTTGAGACAACAACATTGCTGCAATTCAGTCAGGTTAGTGCACTATAGTGCACTGCAAGATACTGCAACATATTGCAAACTCTAGCTGCTAGCTTCAATGGCCAACACCTACTTGCACCTGCCTGCCTCATCTTCACTCAAGGTTCAACAACCTTCAAACACCTTCACCTTCAACATCTTCATGAAAAAGCACGTACCATCATGCCCTACCAATCATCATCGAAGATCTGCTGGGGCAGTGACCGGCTTCACCGATGACAAAAGACTACGGACTGGATGTTGCTGGAACAAAAACCAATGGCTGTGGTGCGCGGACCAGGCACCATTCTTAAAAATACAGTATGTGTTCATATGTTTTCAATCGTCATGTGATAATTTTAAGTCAACATATTATACCAACATACCAACATCTATCAACACATCCAACCACATCCAACCACTGGCGATGAATGTGGAATGGTATGGTCATGAAATTCATTCCGACCTCACCGATGACACCTGCCAGTTGATCTGTATGTCAGCGTGCAAAAAAACAAAAATAAATACACACATATACAAATCCTACAAAATTAAATGGCTAATGGAAAATGGCTAGCCACCACGTACCCCCCCCCATTAACCATTTAGTTAGGAGGGGTGATATAGGGAGATGTAAATCACTCTCTCTCTCTCTCTCTCTTTTATTGAACTCCAGTGTGCCTTACTGATGCCTTGATGTACGTAACCATTCCATACACCACCAATGCCATATACCAACGCCTTCTTTTGGAACAATCACCGGCAAAGCGATTCTCTTCTTTTGATTTGATCTTCCAAACCTGGATGTCAAATGCCGGATCCTTCGGTGCGTTCACCGCAACAACTGACGCGAAGTGCTGCTTGAATTGGTCTCACCATGCACCACCTGGCGAGAGCACTGCACTGCGTTTTCGAGCCTGAGAGGACCCTTCTCAAAGGGACATTCAGTGGCACCAATTGTTGAACTTCTGTTTGTTACTAGTAGCTTCTAGCTACTAGTAGTGCCTAATGGCAAAGTAGGATTAGTCAACGGCCCACCCCATTCAAGGTCAACAAGGTCTGAGACTAGAGGTATTGGAGGACCACATCCCCTTAATAAAAGTGATGACCTGATGATGGATGATGAGATGAGGACCTGGACCTGATGGTGGATGATGGTTGATGGGATTCTGTCATGAGAGATTGAACCATGAGAACCATGAGTCCTCTGAGTGTATTGGCACAAGTTTGATAAGAGATCAAATAGAGTTGATCAGAGAGCCATGCCAGTTGGATCATTGCATATCAAAGCATGGAGGATGAGGAATGGGAGGTAGAGGCTATTTGTGGTGAGGGTGGATCCATGGAGTGGATGGTCTGATGATTGGTGGCCTGTGGAGGATTGGTATGACCTTATGGCATATGGTGATAGACTATTGGGAAACCATTTGGTGATAGCATTGGAATAACACAAATGAGGCCAAAGGGTGGGATTGATTAATAGGATGAGGGGGTCCTACTATTGGGGGGAGGTAGGGCCTGTGTGAGGGGTACCCTTTGTGAGCTTGAACAAGTTAAGAATTTGATAGAGTTTTAAACGGGGAAAATGAAAGACTTTTGCTATAGAGAGTTTCTTTGGGTTTTGGCCGATGGTTGGTAGCATGAGCCCTTAGGAGAAGCCATCAAAAGGATTGGTGAGCAGGATGAGGCAGTTGAGAGGTGGTGGTGAGAATCAGGAGGATGACGAGATGAAGACACCAATGCTATCTCTCAAAGAGATTGCATGAGACAAGGGTGGATCAGAAGATCAGTTTCACCATGGACCAAAAGATATGGGATACACCGGCCTACTAGCCAAAATAAAGTAAATATAAAACAACTATAAATACAATAGTAAACTATGTTTACTTTTCTGAGGCAGCTGGAATTGATTAATAGGGGGAGATGTCTGGCTAGGAAACAAACTATTAGGGTGATCTAGGTGTTCAATTAGTTTAGTATTGGGGGAGCCGAGCTGGGATTGATTAATAGGGGGTGGTTACTTAATCCGATGTGCGCATGAATGCACTGGTTACGTTCATAGCGATGCCCTTGTTACTAGCTTCAGATCACCCGGTGGTTCAGAGGGTCCAAGAGACAACCTGCGTCCCGATCGGCACAAACCGACCCCATGATCGGTACAGCGTGACCGCTGCGCAGGTTGACCTGGAATCATCGTACCCTTTCGCCTTCAAAGACCATTAAAAGAATGGGAACGACCTGGTTTTGTAGTGTAAAATCCTTAGTAAAACAGCTGGTTGTTTGGCAGTCGGGCAGTCAAACCATTAAAACACTAGTGGTTGGAATTCTGGAATCAGAAAATGGGTGACGTGGATGTGGTCCTTTCCTCGAAATCCGAGGATGTGACCACACACGAAAACCATTGGGAGGGTCACTTTTCGAGATGTTGTCGATCCACTGACTGACACCACTCACTTTCCACTGACACGTTCGGTCGGTGAAGGAGAATCAGCGTTTTCTCATCCGGCAGCAACACATCGGAGTCACAGAGCAGAAAACACGCCCCGCCATGAGTACGGATGACTCAATCCCCACAGCGCAAGTTAAGCATTATGTTTTAATATTGTAGATACGTCATGGTTGAACCAAATGTATATAATTAAGAACAAACACGTTCGCACATAGTTGGCCTTAAACTGCCTAAGATACCTATATCAAGCCTTGATAATGTTGCAGTACAGAACACATGAGCGGGTAGAACACGTGACGCAATTCATGGTGATCAGCGGCCCCGGATGGCCCCAGACGCGACCCCTTCAAATCCGGAGGGGTCTGGGGTTTCTTACCAATCCAAAGGGCTTCACAATGGGAGCGTCTGTGACATAAATAACCTGTCCCTCATTTCAATCCCAAACATTCCATGGGACTGCCAGTTCAGACTGCCGCCCTATTGACCCCCAGTCCAGCACCCCCAACTGATCGGCAGTCCGGACTGGCAGTCCCAGACTCGTCGTATCTGGGAAGCCATTTCCGCCATTTCAGATCACAAACAAGCCTCCTGTTTGGGTCACTGGATGGAACCTTCAAGTTAGGTCACGTACTTTTCAGAAGCTGGTCCGATGACTCAGCCCGTCATCGATCTCAGCCATGTACCCGTTGAGTACCCCAGGGAAACCGGGTCCTTTTGCAGGTCACTTCACCTCTCTTGCCTGTCCGTCACTCTCTCTCATCTCTCTCTCTCTCATCTCTCATCTCTCGGTCGCGTCGGCATCACTCACCTGATCACACCAGGTGGAACTGCCGCTCTGCGCTCGCATGGCTCAGCCGTTCAGCCAGCATCTGGGCGGTCACGTAGCTCCGGGGCCTGAGAGGTTGGTGAGAGGTGCACGGGGCCAAGGAGGGTCGGTGCACGGTGCACCGGCTGGAACCGTCAAAGGCACGGATCACCCTCTTGCGATGAGCTCGACAGAGTCAGTCTCTGCTACAAGCAGGACGTGTCATGGAAAAATGGAGGAAGGAGGGAAAAACGATTTGGTGGTTGGTTTGCTTGTGCTTGGTTCAGGAGAATTTGGGAAAAATCGAGCTGGCGACGGGGTGGCAACCAACCAGGGAGCACCATGAATCATGAACCAAGAATGGATTGAGGCCTTCTCATGCGGACCTGCAGTGAATTACCTTGACCGGCAGTCTTGACCCACATCTGAAGAGAAGAATCTTCAGCGGATGGTGAGTTCAGGTATGAAGGAGGACCGAGGAATGGTTGACGGAGGGGCTCTGGGCTTTCATTCGGATGCTGCAAAAGTTGTGAATGCGAACCTTGATGTGGGGCAAGCATAGTCAGTTTCGCTTGAAACACACAGATTCATCAAGTGACATCAATTGGGTGTGCACTAAATTGGGAAGGCTTCCCAGTGTGACCACCTAGAGGAAGGGAAATAGACCAGTACCAAACCTGCTTCTTGACTTGCTGCCGTGCCTGACTGACTTTAAGACCCGGAGTTCTTTGGAGGAAGATAGGTCCATGTGTTGCAAGCAGTAAGCAGTACTGGCGAGCCGTTTGATGGATGGGACAAAGTATATAAGTGTGCCTGATTCTATGGAAATCCATCAAAAAGTGGAAGACACCAGGAGATGGCATGGAGTTTGGTACGCCGGAGACGAAAGGAATGGCTGGAGCTGGCAACCATTCGTGGAAGAAAAAGGTCTGGATGTGGTCTGGGACAGCAAACTTCCCGACATTGCACCGATGGAGGTGACTTTTCTTCCGGAATTCCCAAGGATCTGTGGAAACCAATCTCTTCTGAAAATGGATCACACCGTGACCGCAGGGAAGTCACAGGCAGGGCGCCAGCCCTCCGATACTGTCTGGACCCCTTCAAACGCGAAACTGGTCGTAGAGTCCGGTCGTGCCTCCGATCGCTTTCGATTCAGCTTGGGTATGTCCCATGACCAGTGGATGATGAGGGTTAGATTAGTAAAGGCTGTTCTCGATATGATTGATTCTTTTTACAGACTGTTGGTAGTGGGAGGCACCCTATCGGTTCCTATAAAACCCAAAGTCTATCAGTTTGTCTTGTCGATGAAAAACATGTGATCTTGGTCCTACTTGAACAAAAGCAGCGTGTTCCTGACAGTCTCTTTGCCAAAATCATCAGGTTTAAACATCGTCCATATAGGTCATCACATCACTTTATATAAATAGGAAGTCAACAGTCAACAAGTGTTTTTTCTCGAAACACCTCGTGTATTTTCAGGGTATGATTCAATCGTGTTTTGAGTTTCTCGGCTCTATAGGACTACGACAAGCAGTTGTGAAACACATGCGACCGGCACGGCAGGGTCATGAAACACTGCATGAAAAGCCCCAAAACAACGCATCAGAAAGACCCATGAAAATGTCCGTTTGATACTAGTAGCTTCTTGTTCCTAGTAGCAAGAATGATCCTAGTAGTAATGCCCTTTGTTACTAGTAGCGATGCCCTTGCTACTAGTAGCTTCTTGCTCCTAGTGGCTCATGGATGATTTCTGGATCCTCGAAATCTCATCGAAAGAACGGATCAACATTGGATCAACTCGTCGATCTTATCCTCTGTACTGCCACAGAAACCAATTCCACATCAAACCCAATCCCTCCCAAGGGAGCTCCTAAAAAACAAATAACTTCCCACGTGTAGGGGGAACATCTTCATATGAGACATCCAAAGACCTTTCGTTTCCTCGTTTTCATGTACTAGCTATCATCGCCCAACAAAAAACAACCAAACCGCGGAAAATAGTTCCGTTTTTGTTCTTCCGCTCTTCGGTCGATTCCTTTGGTCGCTTCCTAAGGTCGCTTCTTCGAGGCGTCGCTCTGGGCCTCTAGTACGTATAGCGTCCTTAATGGCCTCCGCCCTAGTAGCTTCTTGTTACTATAGTAGCGATGGCCTCCAACCTATTTGCGATGGCCTCCACCGAGCATAGCGTCCGAACGCTACTAGTAGGAATGGCCTCCACCCTGATAGCGATGGCATTCCCCAGTTCTGACCGCTCCAAGCGACAAGTCGAGTTGAAGGCCACAGGTGTGTGCGGTAGGAAGCCGCTCGGGGCCCACATTGGCCAAATGCAGCGTCATGTAGGGCACGGGGGAGGGGAAACCACCTGGTGCGGCCGGTTTCAAACAACTGTTAACATGTTAACACGTATTTATTTATACTTGAGAGAGGAGAGGGTGAACGAAAGGTAGCGTGCAATCACAAGTAACCCTGGTAGTTAATATCATATTAATGAACTGTAGAAGTGTCAAACTTCAAAATGTTTCAAGCTCTGTTCTTATAGATTCGGTTTCAAAGACCCAAACATACCCAAACAATCCAAAACAAAACAAGCTTTTCAGGATCCGACAGCTCCATCCAGTCTTAGAAAAGCAATTGCTTGTCAGAGGGTTGCCCTGCACTCATACTGCTGGTCCAAAGCAGCGCCACAAAAGGATGAGTGTCACTTAAAGTGCAGCCAAAACAATATTATTGTTCTTTTGGTACCGCTTGTAGCGTCAGGTGGAGGTGGAGTTGGTGGAGGTGGAGTTGATCTCGGGATAGGACAAGGCATGGCTTTTGCCTTTGGCACCTTTATAATTACCGCCAACTTTACACCACCAGAGTCGAGCTTGAGAGCATCATTTTCTTCGGCTTGCAAAGTATCGTCCGGATGTCTTCGTCCCGTCGGCAAATGAAACAAGGACTCTTAGGTCTCGGTGCAAGAACCGATTGAACCCACATCTTCCATCGATCGTACTTCCTACAACTCCCATTCACTATACCCCCTTTCCGACATCTTCCAACAAAAACTCATAGCCACACACACACACACAAAATCACAGAACCCCAACCAAGGAACTCCCCCTTCTGAACACCAAAACCCATCCCCAAAGCCCACCACACCGTCACCGGTCCGTATCCTCAAGCCCCGTCCGATCCAGTCCGGCCTGGAGGAATCCTCCGATAGCCGGTGATCCACTGGAGAAGCCCCGAGCGTTGCTCGCAATCCAAGGACGCCACGTAGTCCCAGAACCTCGGCCGTCCAGGCGACGGGTGTCAGCTCGCGCGACGCGCGAGACGCCCATTTGCTTGCATCGTTGGGTTCGGTCCAAAGCTGCTCGAACACCGCAAACTGAGGGTCCTAACTCTGAGATGAAACTGAGCTGGTGAACATGGAATTACCAAAACCAATGGATGGGATGGTGATGGGCCAGTGGGTCACCAGGGCCAGTGGGTCACACGTGGGGTCAGTTATGGGTGCAAAGCTCAAAACATACGAGACCGAACCCCGGTTTCGGTGTTGATCGACTAGTCCACCCAAGCGACATGTGTTTTTTTGAGATGAACAACGGCTGAAGGCCTCTCACTCTGTTGTAGTCACAGACTTTTCTTGCTAGTTTTGAACATCTCAAGATTTTGCAACGAATTATATATTATGAAATGATACATTCATTTATATAAGATAATATGTTCCATAATTGTCCAAAATCTGGGAGAGTTTTTTTCGGCACCAGCGTCTAAACGGCACGGTCACAACACCCCAGAAAGCTTTAAGGCGCCCGCGTTCCCTCCCAGATCGTGGTTCTTCCGGGCTCTTCCCCTCGGCATCCTCGGCCCTTCGGCAGTCGAGGCACCAGGACACGGTCCGTTGCCCCTCGATGGCACGGGTGGCCTCATAGGGGGTATACCTCGGCGGACAGGCGCATGGGCCGCGGATGTGGCGGTGAAAGGCGGGGAGGTGAAGGCCGGACTCATGCCGAAGTGGAAGATGAGGAGCGCAAGCAGAACACATCGTGATGATAGCAACAATAAGAAAACACGAAGATGTATGGCCTGGGGCGTTGCAGAAAGCACCCCACAAAAACACAGAGTTTGGACCACTTTGCGGGGGTTTTACTTCGAAATTTAACAATGTTTTTTTGTGAATTTGAAGACACATTGAAACTGTGAATCTTCTGAATATGTTTTGAATCACTTCTCCCAGCGAACAATTGACCTATATATATATACCTGAACATGTGCTGATTCGGACCTGATTCATCCCTGCAAACTACTGAACAATTTTTTGTTGTACAAACACCACCTATACTCAACATCTGTGGGCCTTTGGTGTGTCTGCAATAAGCATAGAATATAGAAACCACCTTTTGAAGCTCCTCAATTCTTCATCGGCTCCTCTTGAAGCTCGTTGATTCACCGGCTCGTGGTGGAGGTCAGGAGGTCGCACCCCATCCGCCCCTGACCCGCCATGGCTCGCCTCGTCACGGCTTGCCACACGGTGAGCGGCACGTCAGGACCACCACTGATGAGGCCTTGCAAAACGCTCCTGGCGACGAGGACGAGGACCGCTTCTCTGCCCCACACCCACACCATGGTTTTGAGGGGCCGGGTTCGTTCGAGTTTCTGCGGGTGGGGGAGAAGGGGAGAAGGGAGAATGCCGCGAAGTTCAACGAAGGTTGCCTGAGCTGTTTCCTCTGAAATGCCGGATCCCTGAGGTTCAGGTTGAAGAACTCTATAGTTACTCCCCAATGTACTCATCGGGTCCTTTTCCAAGTTTGTTTGATGTTGCTTTTGGCAGCAAACGACCCAGATCTATCTTTGGCGGATGTGGCAGAACGGAAGGCTCATTCGGGTCGTGAATCAGGGGTCATTTGTGTCCGTCCGTGCATTTTGATGTGCCGAGTTCATGCAATTGTGGACCTGTTCTTATCGCGCTGGGCCGGGCCCACTGAGTGTCACTGGGGATTGTCAACAACTTTGATGTGAAGATCATGGGATATGAACGAAAGGGACCCACTGAGCATGGCTGATTGGCCTGACGGAGGGTCAGGTCAGGCCACGTGCAGCACGAGGGCGCAGCCGGGCGCAGCACGAGGATGGCTGGTAAGTCATCATGTCACCAGCACATTGTCTAACAGATCTCATAGTTTCCCATCTTGGCACTCTCATGTTGCCCATCTCATCTAGTGTCGTGTTCTCTGTTGTTACGTGGGCGCCTCCACCGACCAGACCGCGAGTCGGTCGCGACGTCGCGATTCCACCGACGCGCCGCTCTCCTTTCCAGGCGCCGGCGCTTGCTGGGCCGCGAACAGGTGACGTCCTCCTCCTCGAGGCCTCCGAACGGGTCGCGTCGTGGGCAGCGTCGCGTGCGCCCCGGAGTGTGGAGGTTCGGAACGCGGATCGCACTGGCGGAGGCCGTTTTGAGGTTGGAGGCCATTACGACTATAGTGACAAGAAGGTATACTAGTTTTTCTGTTCAAAAGTTCTTCTGATTCGTTTTGTTCAATGGCGCGGGGAAGGCGGGTCGTCAAGTCGGATAGCTTGTTTTTCATGGTTTTCGGACCTCGTGGTTTAGTAGGTATTCAAAACGTTACTCTGACTGAGGTTTTCAGGACCAGGGTTAACTGGGACAGACTGGACTTGTCAGGAGAACAAACATCGGTTTTACCCTCCTGTGCCATCCAAGGCTTGTTAGATAGGTTGCTCAATGTTGCTTTGCATCGTGCTAGAGTAGCGTAGTGGTTCACAAACTAATAGGGATATTATATTTGCTTACATGGATCGTCAGGGAATGCAAATTGGATTATGATTGACTTGTGTTCGATTTTCACCCGTGATGATGCCAGCGCTCAGAAGCGAATCATCATCGAGCAAAGATCAACATATTCTTTGGCCACCTGAGAAGGCTTAGCCTCTATCGGCTACCGGCAAAAAATACCGCTGTCAGGGGCTCTGGTTGATGGAAATCGGATGATCATCCATCATCTTCCATGATCGCATGATGTTCTCTTTGAATGGAACACGTTTGCCTTCATCCACTCCTCAACCGGCAGCCTTAGACTTCCAAAACACCCATTCCTTGCGGATCGTACCTTCTCAGGTGATTGGAGACACTGCTATGTAGGAGGGTCCAGTCGTACCGAACCTGAGGTTTGGTACGACTGGATCGCTATAGGGATTGGCAATCCTCATCCCCTTCCATCACTTCACCTTCACACCAAATTCACCGTCCACGCTCCGCCAACCGACGTCAGCGCGGGCCCGCGCCCGCGGCCCGCACCGACGTGTGCCTCGCTTCACCTCGCGGTCCAAGGAGGGCAACGAGACGTTGGGCACCGAGCGTAGGCCGCGCCACACGTACTCCAGCTCCGTGGACCTCGGGAGCTCCAGTCGTTGCTTTTGTGTGGTCAAACGAGTCCAATTGGTGTTTTTTCTCGTGTTTTCTACGCTTCCTGTCTAGGTGTCGGTGACCGGTCAAACAGTGGGTTGTCCGACAGGTTGTGCGACAGGTTGTCCGACAGGTTGTCCTGTGGTATATGATTCTTTGCGAGGTCGTCCTCGGTGCACCGGGAGAAAGTGGTGTGTCCAAGAATATGTATAGTGAAAGACTAAATTGCGTAGTCATGGACTTTGAGAAATGTCAGTATGCCAGGTGGCTCTGTCACTTGTGGCAAGCAATTGATATGTGGCATCTACAGTCTACCGGTCCAGCCCAGAAGGGGGGTGGTGTAGGAGGTCAAGGCATCCAAGCTGACTATGGACATACGGTGCGGGCTACAGAGTATCTCAAGCAGTCCAATCAGGTCACAGGAGGAACGTGGACACTCTTTGTAACAAGGTAAATGGAGGTCCCCAAGGACTGTGGCAACATCTGGATTCTCTTCTGCCACTACATCTTATATGTATGCAGGCAGCATGATGCAGCCACGGCCTGGCCACCAAAGAATGACGCGACATGATCAGCTCTCGGACCCTCTCGCGCATCCCGGTCCGGACTCAAAAAACGCCTAGCGGCACGTCGAGAACCAACGAACTTAAGGCTTTGCGCTCCATGTGTTCTCGCAAGCCTCGACCACGCGTCATTGTGGCGTTTTCCGGCGTTTGTGATTGATCGCATGTTCTGCCGTGAGCTGCACGCTCACTCCGCAGGTCGTTGTCTGCCCATCGTCTGTTATACACTCCATGTATGCATATGTATGCCATATATGCCATGGGGGTGGTTTTGGGGGTCAATGTAGGCATTATGTGGCAGTTGATTTTCGGTGAACCAAACCTCGTGGCAACACCGCACCACCGCTGCGGATCCCGCCCGATGTCCAAACCGAACGGTCAGAGACGACCAACGCTGGCTACGAGAGGGTCCGAGAGGCTTGTTGGGAGGCCGTGAAAACCAACCCTTCATGGGTTCATCAAACGTGAATCGCCTACACCGACCCCCTCCAATTGAAACGACCAACATGTCCACCCGCTCCCAAGGGTGCCGTTTTTCTCAACCGCTCCCGGAGTGCGCCAGTTTTTTCGGTGTTTCTACGCTGCCTTCCGCACTGCGCGTTCCCTGATAATCCACGTGATCCAGTTCCGATTCCACAGGCGTTCTCTGTGCACGGCGCCAGAAGTCGTATTCCTCCTGCGAACCGCAGAAGAACCGGTGAAGCGCTGGAACATGCTGGAACCGGGTGGAACCGGTAACGCTCAAAGCGGTGTTCTCGCGAATCCGAGTGAAAAACCAAGAACTGATCCGTATACAGGTCCAAAGTCTCAGTAATAGCCTGGTCCTTTATATGACCACCTCCAACATGCGGTCCAACTGTAGGGCTGTAGGGTACAGGTGAAGCCCAACTACTCCTCTGCAGCATCCTGTCAAGGACATTCTGAACATCCAGCGCGCTGGAATGCGCTGGGCATTGGGCAGAGACGTCTCCAGCTCCAATGACCAGTCCATCATCGAGGCTTCAAACAGATGCACAGGGGGGCAATCTCGTGGGGAGACAAGTGATGAGGGTTGATCAGTTGATGTGGACAGGGTGATTTGGGCGGAACTCTTGCCCCAAAGGGGTGCAGTTTCCAGAGAAAGTCCAACTTCCACGAAACGTCACCACAACGTGGAGGACCACGAAACGAATGTTCACCTTTTTTCCGAAGGCCCCAACAGGAGCACAAAAACATTAAAGCTTAAGAGAGGTTGAACAGCCCTTTGTCGCCTATCCCACGTGTACCACTAGAGGGTCCTGCAAGGTCTCTCAACCTCTGGAATACATGGCCCTCGGAATCGCGCCGTGAAACGAGTCAAAGGGCCCACGTGTGTCTCAGCAAAGGGACCTCCTGGATGAAAACGACCAGCACCTGGGGGCTCAATTCACAGGTCCTGAGTATGCCTGGATTTTCCAAACACGTAAAATGTGAGCCTTTGGGTTTTTTCTTGGATGAAAAGGCAAATTTATATATAGATTCAAATATAAGACTTGATTTAAACCAACAGCTCTCAAGAAACAACCAGCAATCCTCGCTTGCTTCCATCCTTCACCAAACACTTCGAACAAAAACCAAACCTCCATTGCTCCATCATCCAATCACATCATCCGTCTTCCTCTCCCCCCTCAAAGTTCCACCGGTCCCCAATCCACTTCGGTTCCTGGCTCACCCATCTCAGCCACTCAGCGCTGAAACCCAAGCGTCGCAACTCTCCGCCTGAACCGCCGCGCGTTCCGCCACGCGGCGGATGTCCGAGGCAACACTGGACGTAGCAGTATGTAGCAATTGTTGGGAACATTGAACATCAAACACTTGATCCATCCAAAGTAAACACCCCAACCCCCCATCTAGCAAGAACAACTGAAGGTTCTGCGATGTTTGATCAATCAAAACTGGGATTGTTGGTCATGGGTATGAGTTTGTTGTTTGATAATATTAACCCTTGGTATCGGTCTCCAACACCATCCAGTTTCCTTGTGTGCAGGATATGTTCTTACAGCCAAAATCAACCAATTACATCTTGCAAAGCTAGGCAGAAACAAATTGGCTGTCTTTTCAACTCCACGCTAGGAGGAGTGCCAAAACTCACTAATTGGCGGCTAGGAAGAGTGCAAGCCTTTTGGAGTAAACGGCTCGAAAGAATGATGTCCCAAAGTCAAAAGCAACAACACCTTTATTGAAAACAAAAAAACACGCCTCCTGCAGGGGTTCGAAGTTGGTCACCAATTTCCAGGCCTCATGTGTGATTCTTGACCAGTGCAGCGCTCACAGCCACACGACAACCCCAGGTTGAGAAACCAGTGCGATCAAAGACTGTCAGTCTCAACCTGTGACCTTCAAACGTTAAAATTCCGCCAGCATAGACCCCAAATAACAAACATATTTGTAGCGCAGCGCCTGAACGCCCTTTTTGGATTTCAAGGCGTATGCCTAAGAGCGGGCCGGGCAGCAAGCAGGGCAGGCGCAGGCACAGCATATTATATGATTGTATTTTTCTTTCTCTTGCTCTGTCTCTTTCACTGGCTCTTCCTCTTTCTCTTTCTCTTCCTCTTTATCATTTCTCTGCCTCTTCCATTGTCTCTTTCTATTTTTCCTTTCTCCTTCTCTTTATCTTCCTCTTTCTCTGTCTCTCCCTTTCTCTCGTCCTCGTTCTCTGCCTCTGTCTTTCTCTGCCGCTTTCTCTTCCTCTTTCTCCGTGTCGTCCTTTTACCTTTCTCTTGCTCTTTCTCTTTCTCTGGCAGTTCTCTGGCAGAGGAAGAGGAGAAGAGCACCACTCCAAGCCCCACTATCATCACGTCTCTCTCCGTATCACCATCCCCCACTTCGTTGCACACATTTTGCACCGTCCCTACAGTCACCACGGTAGACTCGCTCGAGGGTCACATCCCGACACCGATCCGGTCCTAGCGGCAGTCACGATCCGCAGTCTGCTCGGCAGTCTCCTTGGAGATCTGCTGCAAGGCTCTGGGCAAGGTTGGATGCGCCAACAAATGCGCCAAGGGCGGGCAAATCTCCTGGGTCTGACGCGGTCAGCCACAAATAACACATGAGAAAACACCGATGTTTGAACGTGCTGTCCAGAACTGTCGCTTTGAAGAAGTAGACTAATGTAAGTAGAGGTCTTCAAGAAGTCAGACAATCAACCGACTAAGGGCCTGGAGCTTCCTGTTGAGGTGTCCTGTCTGAAGATCCACAAGTAATTAGTGTAATGTGTAGGACATTCCATTGTTGACTTGTTGACCCATGGAAGGTGCTCCAAAAATGATTGAATCATCTTTCTTTCCCTGCTTGGCAAGCCGCTACAAAATTGCACGCCACACCCACACATGCATTGCATCAGTTCATGTCCAAAACAGCCCCCTTTGCCTCGAGCATACGGACCACGCCGACCCCCACTATGTACCAAGAACGACCTGAAACGACACATAGCGGGGGTAGTCCTTCCTACGCTAGTGTCCCCTCCACCGTGCGTAGCGTCCTTGCTACGTTCGTAGCTTCTAGTAGCAAACACCTCCAACCTCCACGTCCGCGATGGCCTCCGCGTCTGCGATCCGCGATCCCCTCCGAGGGACGACGCCCAGGGGCTGTTGATCACGGAGCGCGAGGCCCAGGACTTTGCCCATGGCCTGGACGTGGACGTGGTCGCCCCCGTCGGTCCGTTGGACCACGGTTGGGTGGGGCCCCGGTGGGTGGAGAAGGAAGCGAACATCACATACTTACAGTATACAAGTAGAGGAAGTGGTTCATGGTGGGTGGTCCACCAGGGTTACCGGGGCTTGTAGAGAAAGAGAGAGAGACCGCGTAGAGAGAGACAGAGAGAGAGAGCGAGAGAGACGGTCTGTTTACGAAGGAATTGTGCCTGTTCGGACTCTGGTCGTCAATAAGACATAGATCCCCAACAAATGGCTCATAAGAATTGATTTTTGTTGGCTGCCTACATTGAGACCTCAAACCACCCCACCTGATCGGCAAGTGTGGCATACATGGAGTGTCTGGGGACTGTTGATGATATGATATAAATATGAGTTATATATACATGTTTCACAACCCCGGACTGGATATGTAAAACTATGCTGGATATCGGGGGGTTGACGAATTTTCAAGGCACACAACAAACCTTCCAGCAAGCTCTTAAACTGGGCCTAACAACAGGTGGTGAGCAAGGGCACCGGATTTGTCACCCCGAAACACCGGTTCGCGCGCTGGCAAATGCTGTTCAACTAGGAGATGAGTTGTCTCGTCGGCCGTCGGCCTGGAAAGGCCAAAGGTCTTTCTTCGTCCAAAGCAGGATGTCTTTCCATTGACTTGTTTACACTTCCCTACACATCGGAACATGCTTTTACGTCAACGGGACGACTATGACAACCACAACCTTCTGCAAAATGGCATGGTTCCATAGGGTTTTACTGTAATACCCAAACCATATATGTACTGAAATAAATACGTTCCCACACCATGTCCCTCGTTCCTTGTGGCTAGTCACGTCACCAATCTAAATCTATGAATCAACTTGGATTGGCTCTGTTTGACTGTGTGCATGAAGAAGCTGCCTAACCAAGGATGGATAGATGGACAAGGGCTGACTGTATTATCCTCGCACTCTCAGCTTCCACAAATATTTGTCCTGCTTGTTTCTTGTTGCACCACAACAAGAAAAACACCTCCTACTTGCAACACTCGGATACTGACTTTCTTACCAGATTAAGCCCCGTGGCTTGAGGATGTTTTCCATTTAGGGCTTTGTTCAAAGACATGTAGGGAGGGGCTGCAGCACAGTTAGGTCCGATTCGCGAGTCCGATTCTCAGATCCACGTGGAATGCGACCCGATGGGATCCATCGCACCGGATCAAGCGGATCGTTCCTCTGTTTCCATCGCTGCGGACCCTCTTTTTCATGAGCTATCAGCTGTCTTGGAGCTCTATTTAAATATATATATATATGTATCATTTAGCATATCCCTCCAAGTCAATGACCTCGTTAAACTTGTTCATATAGAATTGGAGACAATGACCACTATTTACTTTGTTAGAACCTAGTTTTACTTGGTCCCAATAAAGTTCCGTTAAAGCAAAAAATGGTGTTCATGATCTCTTCAGGTGGTTTGGAAGGGAATCAAAGGCGATTCTGAGTGATATTCCAGGTGTTCTTGGTGGCTTTGAGGCTAAGTATTCGACATTAAGAGCAAAGAGGTCTGAACTGTTGGCAACTATTTAGCGTAACAGGAGCGTAACAGTTCCGTAACAACCCCCTCCAGGAGACTTCTAAAACTGCAAATGATCTTCCAAAACCGTAACAGGAGCGTAACTGGAGCGTAACAGGTCCTTAGTCCCCTTAATGTTTGCAATATGTAAGCAAATCATAGAAAATTGTGACCAGGATGTATAAATGTTTGACGTTTTTGTCAGTTGTTTTATTTGCATGAATTAAAACATTGGGTGCATTTTTGCAGGTTCTATGTGCCGTTAGTGCGGTGATGTTGAATTCGCTTGGATAAAAGGGCTTGGGTTCCGACAAACCAAAGGTACTCGTAAAACTTGTCCTTTTCGAAAAGTACTCGTTTAACTTGCACTTCGGACGAGCGAGATCAATCTATCAGCAGTCATCAGGATGTACACAATACCTTTGCACATCTTCACGGCAAAAGCACGGACCAGCATGTGTGAATGTGCAGAAGAGGTCTCAGGGTTCCCGATCTTTAGAAACATATACCCTATAGGCCTATATATATAGTTAGGATATGCAATGATTGGATGATGACCACCGACCGAATCGTTTCTTCCCGTTCAGAACGCGCTGTGCATCGATGGTTTCCACAACACTCAACGAGCACTCAAGCACACGGCACACGAGCCTCGAGGTGCTTGAGATCAGCACCGGGTTTCAGCCGTGCATAGCAAGTGCCGTCCACACAACCTCGGAGCTTAGCATGCGAAGAGGCATGCGTCGAGGCATGCGAGTCGAGCCATCAGCTGAGACTGGTGGCACAAGATTTGAGAACACAACCTAGCGAATGAGAACACAAAGTTCTTTAGGTATAGAACTGCGCGTAGGTTAGTCCAACAAAATGAGAAACAGATGTGCTCCTACTCTTTTTCGTCCGATGTCACAAACAGAATCGACAGACTGAAACGGTCTACAAATGAAAGTAAACATGCGCAGCGGTGCGTGTGTTTTTCTCATGTTTGTTTTGCACGCTTGTTTGGATGGTCCACAACTATTGGATTGAGTCTCATAGCCATGGCGCGATGTAGGCAATTCTCGCTGTTTTGCTGTTGGGTTTCCCCGGGGGGCCACTAGTTGTGCTTTGCTGGTGGCAAGCACTGGCAAAAACCAAAGTCTCAGAGTCCAAAACGATCTGCCACGGTCTATTCTGCACACCGGACATTCGTCCTAGAAATTGCTCTCGAAGTGATCTACGACATACGAGGCCCTGGATGGCCTCGTGGATGGGCCAACGTGGATGGCCCCGGATGAAATCCGAAAGGCCCCAAACAGCTGAGCTAACTTCCAATGCTCCGCTGTTCTCTTAAGACATAGATCCGATAGGTCCCGCTCACCCCCGAACGAATGCTTTAAGTAATTACGACCGACTCCTTCAGTTGCCCTGGAAAAATAAAGGTTACTGTAACCTTGTGTTGAGCAATGGCAGCCATACATGACCAACCATCAAATATGTGTGTGTGTGTGCTTAGTGTGCTTTAAGTTATTTGGGCTCCTTGTATCTATGGCTGGCGTGCCCTTTCCTCAAGGTTCACCATTTTCGTTCGCTGTTCGTACCTCCGTGGGGGTTTTGCCCCGCTCTCCAAAAACAGGTTTCGCAGGTTATCCACTTCTCCGTTCGGGCATGACCAGCCGTTCGCGACTCCTCCGGGGCGCTGTGTTCCACCAGGCCATTGGAGGAATCAAACAGACCCAAGGCCAACTGGGCCAACCAGTCTCGGAAGAGTCCGCCAAAGTCCAGGCCAATCCTCAGGAGCTGGACTTGGATCAAACAGATTAGGAGTTGGAGGCACTCCAGGAGCTCAAGTTGCAGTCAACTGTTGCAGTTCCAGTTTGAAAGAGTTCGAGTCTTTTTGGAAACAGTTTGCCAGGAGTTCAAGTTCCTCGGTTGGGATTTCCAGACTCCGGCGAGTGGATGTTCTAGACAGCGGAGAGCAGGGCAGTGGTTGCCTCAGCAACTTCCGGTGGCTTGATCTTTCCCATCATCCCAAGCCTTGGCGTTCCTCAACATTTCCCTGCTAATTATTTGAAAACCAAAAGGTTGCCTATGAGCCCAAGGTGTATACAAACACACATAGGTGGCTCCGGCATGTTCAGTGTTCTGGCTTGAATAAGCAGTCTGAGACTACTATCCTTCTCCTGGGGAATTGCCAGTGAATATGCTGTGGCAATTCCATGCTGTAGTCACAGCAATATGGCAAGCAGGGTTACTAAAATTCTTGCTGGTCATAGACTCCTATAGTTGTCCTCAACATAATGGGACCTGAAAAAAGAATATGCTATGTAAGTCACGCTGTGATATCGATGAATTATGGTATGTAGTGGGATGTCAGTGACCAGCTTCTTCAAAGTGACCTCATGTGACCTGCTTGTGAAAAGTGGCCTCAAACCAGCGGATCAAAACTTTGAAGAACTAGGGGGTTCACTCCTGAGGTTGAGATGGGTTCAAAGGTGTAAACATAGTGCGGAATCAGTGGAGATGGTTCACATAAATTGTCCTTGAAATCAATAGAAATCTGCAAACGTTTTCATCATCAAAGTTATACAGTTATACCAAAGTTTGTTCACATCATGTTCATATTCTTCTTCACTACCAGTACCCTCCAAAGGTCACCACCTGCGACTTTTGAGTCTACAAAAGCATCCATTTCGGAGACCTGTTTATCGTCGGGTGCTCCTCGAGTCTTTGCTCCCCTCAACGGCTCACGCCCCTCAACGACGCCCACGCCCGCTGCCAAGCAGCTCCTGACGCCCGGGCTCCTTCCCAAGCTCTTCAGGGCTACTGACGTAAATCACCTCCGGGCGGTGAAACGGTCGCCCCGCCGAAGGCACCGAATCGGCATCCACAGCTAGGTGTCAAGGCCGCCTCCGTGAAGCCGCAGCTAGGCAACCACCGAGTGGTACCAACAGCCTTTTGCTTGCATCGAATTCGCCTGTTTAAGGTTGATCATTCTGTCCTACGAGGGAATCCAAATGTGCATTTCTTTTTGGTCAAACACGTTCGCACAAAAAATCCATGCATCCGGCCTTTTTTGTCAAATGGACAAATTTTCTGGAATTCCTCCGAATATTGGGTTTGATTGGGTTTTATCAATATAATTGTTTGGGTTTTTGTCGATAAAATGTTGATAAAGTTTGGGTTTCATATGGGTGCGCATTTGTACGGTATTGTTTTTTTGTCCATACGGCTAAATACGCTAATTCGTTAATTAAAATGTCCATACGATAAATTCTGTCCAAATACGGCCTTCGCACAAAAAGCAGTGTTCATACGCCTTTCCAGGTAGGCCAATCATTCTCTTCGACGCTAGCCATCCTCTCTGTGCCTGGTGCTAGCCGTCCCCTCCCATCTTGCTCTCCCTGCATGCTCCCGCTGCCCGGACCCCATTTTCCACCTGGACTTGCACTGCGGTGTAACCAAGGCTCCCCAAAATCAACCATTTGGCATGTGCGTTGGAAAACCATACCCCCAAGAAGCCTTTGTAAGTGATCTACTTTTCTTGAATCGCTTCTCTTCTCCAGCGCCCAGAAAAAAATAGCCCAAATGCTGCGCCCAGGTGCATTGGGCGCGAAGCGCAGCTGTCGCCGCGTGAGTTGCGCCAGCTGCTCGACGGAGCTCTCCAGAAAGCGCCAGCGCTGCACCAAGACCGAGCTGAGTATGGACACCAGCCGGCCGGGGGAGTGGAAATAGACCCTAGGGCTCCAAGTACCTTCTAAGAAGGTGTTTGGGGTGGGTTTAGCAACATGTCTACATTACTACATAGGACTAATATCGGACTGGTGGAGTTTCTTTCCAAGGGGTAAGGGGCTCTTGATTCTATTTCAACCACACCATATTGAAGAGGTTGTGGAAATCCAAATAACTCTGTGTGTTCTTCTCTTAATCGTGAGTCTACATTGACATCAAGGAGTTTTGGAAGTTTCAAAAAAGAACTTGTGAGGAACATACAGTTTTCAGTGGAAGTGCAGCCTACAGCCCTGAGCATTGTTGTGGTCACCCAGTGATGCCAGAATTTTGTCGCTCATAAGACCAGTCGACACTTGTTCAGAATTCATGTTGAAGTTCATCCACACAAACATGGAAACCAATTTGCCATTGAAACTGTTGTATTGGGATAATGCCGATGCTATCAACATGATTCATACTCACCCCTCGGTCCTGGTTCCTGGTCTTCACAGGAGCTCCAGTGGAAACCCTTCTCTTCACGAGTCAAATGTCCTTCTGCGAGTCGAACGTCGTTCTGCATGAGACATGAAGCCACGACATCATGTAGATGGTTGATTGATGTTGATTGAACATGAATCCCGCTGGGTATCCAAGTACCTTCTCAGGGTTTGGAGGGTCCAGTCGTACCTTCTGAGAAGGAACGACTTGATCCATAGGGAGTGAATATGATCTCCCCCAAAAAAAGGTTTTCACACTTCTCCAGGCCTTAGGGGAAGTTGAATTAATGATTAATCAACATATATCAGACCAAGTCCAGTCTGACCTAGTAAAACCTGGTCTTCTACTATAAGAGTAGTGTTTTTGTATGACCAACTCCAGTAAAATGAGGTCATTGACATGGGACTGAGTATTGGCGGGTATGTTCCCATTCCGCCCAGTGGATGATATCGACGTCGTTGCTTTCCCACCAACGCTCCGCCCGCTCATCCCACCTCCGCGCCGCGACAGCGACGGCCAAGGCCGCCAAGGTGCGTCCTTTCGCCCACGAAGAGTTCCAAAGCGATCCTGCACCCCATGTAGGCACCTCGTCCGGTGGGAAGAGTTCGTTCCCACCGGAGCGACGCGGTCGACGCGGTACGCCGGACGCGGTACTTCGGCGTGAACCGGAAAGACCGAAGCCTCTAGAAAGGAGCCATAGACGAGCCTGCAAGGTCCTTTGAGTGTGGTCTGTGTTGCAATGGGAATGTCTCATGTTTCTAGGCTTAGACCTCTAGTACTTCCAGAGTAACTGACCACACTATTCCTTCTGCCAGTCGCCAGAATTTGGAGACTGACCGCAACAACCTAAACACGTGTTTTTTTTGCAAGTGTTTGTGACCCAAGCCTGGTCCTTTTCGTGTCCGTCGCAGCGTCTACACGCTGGCCACATCCAAGGTCCCGACCGAACGCTCCGCTCCACGTCCAACGGTCCAGGTGAAGGAAAACCATACCCAGACGCCGATGGGACGAAACGCATGCAAAGCATTTGAGGTGGTTGAACAGGGGTCCATTTTTCGGCATACTCATGTTCCCGAAGCTCACATGGAAGTGGATGGCATGGTCCCGAGTTCGGAAGACAACGACTGTCCTCCCAAAAACAAGGGCTTTTCCGCTTCCATGTTAGTGAGTCAAAGTGTACATGGAGTGTCTGGGATAGGAAAACCCAACACCAGCATAATAGTGTCTCCAAACCTACAAAAACAACATACTTGCACCCTCCTGATCACCTTACCTGACAAGGTACGACTGGATCTGTGGGGATAGGAAACCTATTTACACACCCGCAGTGTCAGGAGCAGGAGCTGCGCACCTGGGCCCATCATCAGCAAGGAGGTGAGGAGATCAAATCTAAGGTTCTTCGAGCAATTCAGCAAGGCCTCAAGGGCATTGAGCAAGACGAACACCTCCCACGTTTGAAGAGAATTTCAATCCAAATGGGAGGTCAACAGAATCAATCCTCCCAACAAGGACAGGTCATTTTCCATAAAATGATCAACCAGAGGATCAGCCAGAACCAAACACGCGCCCGTTTTGCACCCTGTGCTCTCAAACACGTGCACAGGTTCTCAAAACCAGCAACGATCCGGATGGTCAAACTTCAAGCTTCGTGTGCAATTCCGACTGTTGCACCCAGTGTGGGTGGTTTATGGAGATTGCACCCCGTGAGGTGGTCGTGTGTTGTCCAATCATCCGAACTCGGTGGTGCTGCAATTGATTGGGTCCCTTGGGATCCAGTTGTACTTTCTCAGTCAAAAGGTGATGTGTTCGACCCTGTTATTTGCCGGTGCCATATTGTCGGGTCCAGTCATGGCGAACCTGAGAAGGTACGACTGGATCACTGCAGGGTGTTCTGTTTCCTGACATGAACTCATGGATGCGCGGATTCGCGGAGGACGTCCGGGACTGACCTCTGGCCTAACCCTGCCTAGAACACCCCAAAAATACCGTTGATCAAGACCTCTGGAATCCTAGAAAATGGATGACTGACACAAAGAACAATACCGGCCATAGAGTAAGTCATCAATTTGGATTTCAAGTTGCTTTAGATTGACATGGATTAATTGACATACCAGGAGTCACAAAGGTGGTTTTGAGTCCCTAAGTGAGTGGAGTAGCTGAGCACCCGTATCCTCCAAGTTCGGCACCCCTTTGTGACTGCTGGTATATTGACATTGACATCTTTCTCAAAAGATTCGGAAGCTTCAGGCCCCAAGCCAAGGGACGATGACCACCAAGAGGTGCGCCGCCGTCATGCCCATGCGCCGAGCACGCCACCACCAGAAGGGAGCGACGGTGGCCTAGACAAAACGAGTGAATTGGATGATCCAATTCAAGGAATTGATGGAGGGAACCTCGTCATAGATTGAAAGGTGGGTACATCCCATTCCATTGCCAGTAACAGTGGATGATCATCCCAGACACGACCTGTCCGGGACTGCCAGTTCGGACTGCCGCCCTAGACAGATCCCCAGTCAACCATCCCAACGGATCGGCAGTCCGGACTGGCAGTCCCAGACTCGTTGTGTCTGGGAAGCCATTCGGTTGCAGGCCGTGGACATGATGAGGGGCCCCTTTCTTCACCGACTGTTTTATTGGTTTGGTTTCCAGACCAAAGATTTCCTCATAGATTGAAAGTATCTCATACATAATATCCCCATTTTGTGGAACAGTACCTCTTAAAGTCCGAATGCACAAATATATGTTTACAGCTCCACTTCTCATGTGGTGACCCCGCCTCTGCTAAATAGATTCTATAAATACACAATATAGATTAATATAACTGCACTTACATCTCAAACAGGGGCTGCTTTTGGAGGTCAATGTGTAAAAGTCCTTTCTCCTCCATGTCAAAATCAGCCAAGTACTTTCTTGATAAGTCCAGTTCACAAGTCCTTTTTGCTCCTCTGCAGTTTTTCTATGACCTCAGGCAGTCGTTCTTGGATCCAACCGCTACAAATGATCCTGCCTCTCCTTTTTTGAGCGCTAAATACCGCAGGTGAGCATGTTTAAGATCTGGACCGCTAAATACCGTATGTACGATCCAAGAGTTGGGGCGGTTGTCGCCAAACTTCGAACAAGTTCCTGCCAAGTCCAAGAACCCAGGACAAGTTCTCCCAAACATTGGAAAAGACTCGACTCCTCCCCTCTTCACCCCGGGTTGGTCCGCAAAAGTTGGTCGTCTAAATTGATGTTTGCAAAGTCTCAGAGTTGGGTCAACGCAGTTCCCCACCAGCTTCTTGTTGCTAGTAAGGCCAGGAGCCCCTAGTAGCGATGCCCTTTGTTCCTGCTAACATGCTACGTTGGTACTTGATCTTCAATCTTGCTTCATCTTTTGGCCTCCAAGCCTCTTTGAGGCCTAATCTCTTAAGGGAGCTGCTGAAACCTATGGAGACTTCCTCCCTGTCAGCGCGGGTTTCCGCCCTGTCGCCACCAGAGTCACCTCCCAACAGCGCCAGCACAAGATCATGGTGACCGCTGAGCGCAGCACCCCAGCGCCTGGGACGGACCGCCAAGAAAAACATGCTTTGGTGTTGCACAGGAGGACGTTTACAAGTTTGGTAGTAGTAGTAGTCGTCGTCGTCGTAGTAGTCGTCGTCGTCGTCGTAGTAGTAGTAGTAGTCGTAGTCGTCGTCGTTTGTATGTCAAAAAATTGTGTTTTACTGTGTGGTTTGACTTTGGTTTGACATGTTCTGACTTTGGACTCTCAAAGTTTTGTTCTCAAACATGCGGAAGAACCTATGTTTCAGGGACCGTCTAAAGTTACTCATAAACCTCTGGGTTCTTCACCAATTGGATTTGGGCTGGCTGGAGGGTTTTGGAGAATTGTGTTTCACTGCCGAGTGCCATCAGTCATCTTTGAATCAGGGCATTGCACAATTTCGCAGCATTATCGATACAAACAATGACCTAGTTGTAGGTCGTTTGGCGGAGGTGCTGGTTGCTTGCTGCGTGTTCACTGTCCATCTCTTTTAAAGGTCTACAAGTAAGTCCCTCACTCTGCGATGAATCATGAATGAATGGTGATCTGCTGTTGCAGTTTGTTTTTTGCATGTCAAAATTGATTGCATGCAAGTATTTGCGGAAGCTACAAAATCACTCTCATGGACTCATGGACATATTGGGAAGTGTTATACTCATGTGTCAAAAGTCAAATCACCCACATTCACATTCATTCCTAACTAAATATATAAAACACACCAAAACACATCTAAACACATCTCCAGCTGACTCTCTGTTTCTACATCGATGCCTCGTGGCAAGAAGTGCAACGTCAAGGTGAGGACCACCAAAAGAGCCGACATGAAGCCGCTCTGCAGGCTCAGAACGAGTTCCTCCGGAAGACATGCGCAAACCGCAGTTTGTTTTGGCCAAACGGGCTAGTCTATCCGGCAAAATGGTGTGTTTTCAAGTGGACATCTCTTGGGGTTTCGTGGTTTTCATACGCCTGGCTCTTTGGTTTGTGGGTGACCAATCGATTGCATCCCTTCTTCCTTTGACCTTCAGCGAAAAGTCATAAGTTTTAATACGTGTACACTTGTCAAATGAAACATAGTTATTAAGCCTTTAGGTGAATGAGCCATACACGTACGTACTGAATGAACCATGAGCCTTTTGGTTGATGGTTGGTTCTCCAGTTCACCAGCCTTTGAGTTCTTTGCAAGGATTCTTTTCTCCCTGATCTAATGAGTAGGATGCTTTCCCAGTTCTTCATTCCTCACAGAAAAAGAAATCACACACAAGGTCTTTTGAGCAAAGAAACCGACGACTGAGCTTCAGACTCTTCCATGTGAAGAAACTTGATGCACTGGTGCCCTCTGATGCACTGGCAATGGCTTGGTGAACACATCTGCCGTTTGTTTGTCTGTTGAGCCGAGTTCCTTTGACGGAAACCTGGTGGGCAAAAAGCGTGTGAGTGAATCAGGGTGCAATCCGCAATCCTCCACTTGAATAGACGGAGTTGGCCTCGGTTGCCATAGGGGATGAAATAGGGATTCACTACCTGTGGGGAGTTTGCCCGTAGCCCGGCCTCCACATACTTAAATGTCACAACCGTCCCTTGGTTGACCTGCCTGGAAGGTCAAGCCACATGGTGTTGGGGCTCCAGGTTTTGACCCATCCCCAATTACCATCAGCACAGGGTTAGCGAATGAATTGGTCATTTCAGTCATACCGTTGTTTGGTGTTCATTTGAACAATTCATGCTGCCCCAAAAGAACATGACAAAAACACTCCATGCAACCGGTCAATATACTGGGATGTCCTCTGCAGGTTCCACTTCTATTCCTTTAGTATTGAATATCCCTTCAACAAAGCAATCAGAGCGATCAGGAGCACCCTAGGTTCACTTAAGCAATCTAAAAAGCAGGACAACAAACATTTAAACAGAGTCCATGCACCCAAGTATGAACAGCCTCGAGCCCTGTCCAAATCGCCCAGAAAACAAACCATCTCCTGAAGAATTGCTTGTCTTCGCAACGAAGGGCTTCCTGGCCCTGGCGAACGAAGCCGAACGGATCCGCGTTCGGCTTCGTTTTGTTCGTCGCGGACGGTGACCACGGTGAGGTGTGCGAACGCCTGCTAAGAAACGGTGGTCGCCAGGAGGGTCCAGTTGTACCGAAACCTGAGGTTTGGTACGACTGGAACCCTAGGGCAGATTAGCTGAAGGATTTTGTTCCAACATCATATATCTGGAGCATGTCCAGAAGAAAACAAAAGGACACTCCGACAACACACAAATACCTTGCATGTGTTTCATCTTGTGCACATGGGTGGAGGACTGCAGGATGTGCTTCTATTAGTAACTATGGAAGAAATGTGCTAAATAGAACTTGCATAGTATTGTTCCTTTCCAGCTGTATATGTGGATGCTTAGCATCCACATGGACCTGGCTGTAGGACCCCCCCGGTCTCTGAATGACTCTGAAACGGATCTCCAAGGGATCTTGTTGAACATCTGAAACCTGAAAATACTACGGGAAGTTGAGCCCCTTGTGAACACTCCACTAAGTTCCCCTTCTTGCTTTTCTCCAAAACATCTTGTTGTTAGAGAAGACCATCTTCCAACGGTCCATGACGTCAGTGCCCTGGTGTCGGTCGTAGCTGCTGGTGTCGGTCGTGTGGTCGGGTGAACGGGTCACAACCCACCCACAGATCAGGCGGTTTTTGGGGATCTTTTTGGATGGTTTTTGAGGGCATTCAAAGGATTCAGGGGGATGCCGCAGAGTCTGGACTCCGAGGTCCAAAGTGTGAAGCGAGCAGCCAAGGAGATGGTGGACCCTGGAGATCACCATGCAGGATACCCATTCCACTCAAGGTATCAAAAGAAAAACCACTCCCAACTTTGCCAACTGGTCCCCTCTCATAGGGATTGGTGAACCACTCCCAATGGGTCCCTGAGGCTTTGGGTCTTACGCCGAGCGTGGTCTTTCTCGCGTCCAGGTCCTCCCGTCTTCCGTCGACGCATTCGAAAGACCGGGACGCCTAAGAAGATGATCAAGAGTCGCAGCAACAGCGTCGCCTCATGCAGTGGTACCAACAGCAGGGATGGATGGATGGATGGATGGATGGATGGATGGACGGACCGGTCCCACAACATGGCAAATATATGGTTTTCCACCACCTGCCAACTGCACCTAAAAACAACAAAAAAACTGTCCTACTTAGGGTGTCAAGGGAATTAAATACAGTCGTTTTGAGGGATCGAGGTCATCCTATGCAGGGGCCTGATGCGAGTTCCAGTTATGGCCATGCCGCGGGAAATGTTGAGTTCTCACCGGGTATATAACCAGTCAACGATCTGTTCAATTGGCAATGTCCCCGAAATGCTAACCTCTGGAATTCTGGGAAAATTAAGATTTTTGAAGTGGAGGATGGTCATAGATACATTGGTTCCATGTCCACCTCGAGCTCATCAACATCAAAAGGGAATGTGAAACACATATCCTTACCCGCCAACACAAAATTACAAGCAGCTGAAAAGGTGTTGTTGGAAAACAACGAACCCCGCATCCTGGAACTGAATGCTTCCTCTGCAAACACTTGGTTGGTCACTTCTCAAAATAGAGGGACCCCTGCAAAACACGTAAAATTTGGAAAAGGGGGAACTGCCATGATTCGGAGGTTCTGCTTGTTTGAGATACATCTACGGATGGAATTCTTGGTGACTCACCCCACGGACGACAGACTGCAAATAGTTTGTTCCTGCTTGTCCAACCGTGATTAGCTGGCCTGGACAGTGTGATGATCGGTCCAGTTGGTCATACAAATGTATCATGGTATCCCTTACCGAGATTACCCACCACCGAGTTGGTCATACTTCATGGCCTTTCCTGATAATGAGGTCAAAGACCAGGATTTACAGGGTCAGACTGGACTTGAATCTTTCCGCCGTCATGGCGCCTCTGCGAGCAAATGCCCCACGAGCGCATGAACCAAGCCCAAGGACCACCTAAGAGTGAAAGATGTGGGAACGTATTATATATATTATTTGCATATTTTTGTTTTAATTTAGTGTACAATACTATACATAACATTGTTAGGTTTTCAACATAGGGGCCGGGGAAACCCAAGGACCCATGAGTGCGCAACAGGGCCAGGTCAGTTCTTCATATTCCGACACACTGATACACCATGGGTCTATCCTACTATAATACAAGAAACAGTAGATAATGATGGTTAGTAAAAGCCTCAGTGTTGTTCTTGTTTACTGACAGTTGCAGACAGTCCTGCTACGGCAAGAAGACCCCTGTCATTGTATTTGTTGTCTTTACTACTACTGTTATGACTACAAACACAATGACTAGTGACTACCACTAACTACTTCTACTACGACGGCTACTCCGCACCAGCCACTCAACCACTCAGCCACTTATTTCTTCCTGTCAGCCGTTCACCCACTCAGGCTTTTCTTCCTGTCAGCCACGCAGCCACTCAGCACCTCGGACTGTTCTCCTTGTCAGCCACTCAGGCTTTTCTTCCTGTCAGCCACTCAGCCACTCAGGCTTTTCAACCTCAGGCTTTTCTTTCTGTCAGATTCAAGCTTTTCTTCCTGTCAGCCACTCAGCCACTCAGGATCTCGAGTGGCGGAGTGGCTGATATAGGATACCGCTCTATCAAATGTTCTCTCCTCGTTTTGTCGATTGGTGATCCACAGCGATGCGAAGGTGCCCCAACAGACAGAGTGCTGCTGTCGCCCGGCGCAACCGCAGCTGGTCAATTTCCCCTCTCGACTATCGTATTGAAAATGGGCGCCTTTGATATGATATGGTTTTCTAATGAAGTTTAAACCAAATCTTGTTGGACCTACACCGCTAGCGTGTGGTGGCACCATTCTGGTAGCGACTGGTAGTGCAGCTGAAAAGAGACACCGATTCACTGGTATTGAATCAAACCCAAGTATTGACCCACAAAGGCTTTCCATATACCCTTTCAAGAGCCAAGCGACATTCGCTGCACTCACAGTTCCGCTTGGAGGTCGTCGAGGTCGAGGTACTTAATCAATAGTAAGGCGCCGCGTCCACCTCCTCAAGATGGACACTCCAGATTGCACCGTCACAGCCTCAGTGGGATCCTCCAGCTGCTTCAAAAACACAGTCTTCTCGTAGACGCCTCCAGGCTGGTACGCGTCACTTTGCAGTCACCTGCCGACATCAGAATTGCCACCGCCCCGGCCAGTCCACTCTGGGTGTCATTGTTCTCCTCAACCTCAACCCACTCGTACGACGACTCTTCCTCGTCAATGATCTTCCTCTTTGGAGGAACCAGTGACCAGCTTCGGTGCGCAGCACTGTCTGCACCCTCGGCGGAATCACCTTCGGCCCCACCCCATCTTCTGGACACGAGACCACTTGGCCCTCATCAGTTCCTTAGAGCACTCAACAACACAAGACGATCGCTGCAAAGGCCTCAGTCTCACATAGTGATCATACCACTCCTTGGCCTCCTTGAGCAGAAGAGTCCACCTTTCATGACTGGTGTCTGACATGTCCGTCATGATCGGCTCGATGGTGATCAGCCAATCCGCAAAAAACGAAACACGTGCCATGTCTTGTACTAGATGCGCACGCTATAGATGGCGCCTGGAACCACAGCCACAGCGTCATTCAAGGCTTCAACGCCAGGAAGTGGACCAGGGACCGCAACACCACCAGTCCGCAATGCGAAGCTTTTGACTCAGCCAGGCAACCGACCACATGAGCCGCTGAAGACCTGTTTCAAGCCCGACCATGTCCGTGACTACAAATCATGGTTTGAACATTGTCGCAAAAACAACTGTTGGGATCTTTGCGCCATCAGCCCCACACCTCTTTTGAGTTTCATCTGCGAAGCAGTCATTTAATGTCGAGCGGTGTCAAAAACCATCCGGAACTTTTATTAAGATTATAACAACCTTTCGCTAATCCCTTCGCAACGCTTTCGCGGCTGCATGTTTTGCTTTCGCCGACCCACTTCACCCGACAACCTCTTTAGCTAACCCTTTCGCCGAGTTTCTGCTACTTACATCTAAGAAAAGTATCAGCATGTATCAGCAAAGGGGAATCATTCCTAATCTGCAACCACTGCTTTCGCCACATCTTCGCGAACCTTTCGCCAACCTTTCGCCTGGTTGTCATGAATCTTTGGATGACATGCTTTGTACTGAAGACCTCTTCGCCAACCCTTTCGCAACAAAATCCATTCATCAAAAAATCAGAGCCTTTCTCCAAACCTTTCGCCAAGCTTTCCCCAACTGCAGTTTTCCTTTCGCACAGATTCATAATCTTAAGTCCTACCTAAATTCTTTGATAGAGGTTTATGACGTTGCTCTGGCATCAATGTGCAATCCGGGTCGCCGTTCACAGCGGCCACTCGGCCACTCAAGATCCTGAGAGGCCACTCCGCCACTCAGCCACTCAAGACCGTGAGTGACTGAGTGGCTGACAGGAAGAAAAGCCTGAGTGGCTGAATGGCTGAGTGCTGACAAGGAGAACAGTCTGAGGTGCTGAGTGGCTGCGTGGCTGACAGGCAGAGAAGCCTGAGTGACTGAGTGGCTGACAGGAAGAAAAGCCTAAGTGGCTGAGTGGTTGAGTGGTGCGGAGTAGTCGTCGTAGAAGTAGTTTTAGTGGTAGCACTAGTCGTCGTCTTTGTAGTCGTAACGGTAGTATACTAGTCGTTGTCGACGTCGTCATCGTCAGGGCACTGGCACTGTGACGTCGTCAGCGAGAAGGACCGTGTTTTCTCTTTTTTGGCTTCTAGGGATTTGATCGTTCCCGTGGGGTGCGCCTGTTGCAGCACACCCTGCCGGCTTGATCAATTCATTTGGCTCGTTTTCGAGGTCATGGGATCTGTCCTTGAAGGTAGCAGTAGCAGTAGAAGTAGCAGTAGTAGTAGCAGTAGCAGTAGCAGTCGTAGTCGTCGTAGTCGTAGTAGTAGTAGTAGTAGTAGAAGAAGAAGTAGTAGTAGTAGTAGTAGTAGTAGATGTTGTTGTTGTAATAGTAGTAGTAGTAGTAGTAGTAGTAGTAGTAGTAGTAG